GTGAGGCTTTTAAAGAGCGCCACATCACAAGTGGTAATTATCATGAGCGTGAACATTCAATTTAGCCTCTTCCATCAGTGGGCAGCTTCTGAGTGGGGGAGGGGAGGGTGAAAACACGCGCTGATGTTGTGATGCCAGGAAGGCTTGCACAGAAGCAAAGGGCTGTTTTTGTGCACAGACCGTCCCAGCTGCGGTGATGCAGGACCACAGACGGCGGTTGCTCTGCTCACAGGAGCAACGCAAGATCGTGGACAGTATCAGCCCTGCTCACATACTCACAGGACCATGTCTTTGCAATCCCTGTCTGTGCTGGTCCCCTGGTGGCGGAATGAACTTCCCACGGGGGGTCAGGATGGCGGAATCACTGGCCGTCTTAGGACGCAGACTGAAGACCCACCTCTTCAGACTGCGTCTCGGTTCCACCTCAATCTCCACCCACTAACACCTTCTACCTGTATTACTTTAGAAGGTGTTAGCAGTTTATTGTTTATTAAACGGCTGTTTATTTTACGTGTAGCATTGCAATGTGTGTTGGATTCTGTGATCTAGTGACTATGAGGTATGGTAGTATACTTGGCTTCCTTTGTCTAGTCAGGTTGCATAGGTTAACTTGTGGTAGGGCTTGAATAATGTAATGCTCACATTAACTGGTTTGGGAGTGTTGTTAGCCTGGTCTGACACTGTTTCTCATTCAGCCTGAATGGATACACTTCTGTTATTTTGTGCTGGCAGTTGCTCTGGATAAGAAATGAATGTAAGGTAATGAAATATGATGAAATGAGTGCTGCAGGACCATGGACAGTGCCAGCACTACTCACAAGCGTGTGGCAGGTACAGCTCATCACAGATCACTGCAGCTGTTGAATATTGCCCCATCAGTGGGCTTGAATACACATCCATTTAGGAGGTCCGGTAGATCCTAACATAGATTCAGAGACACCACTGTTTTTTTGTTCTGTTACAATAAACACTTCAGCTGCTGCACCATCGCCAACCTGTCTCTGCCCGTCTCATTCTCTGTCTGTGACACTCTGCGACATACGCAGGCAGGTGCAATCGTACAGTACACAGCAGATCTCATACGCCATATTCAAACTCCAAAATAAAATGAAAACGAGGAGAGGGAGGGACAACCTAGGGTCAGTGAAAACTGAAAAGACTGGCATAAAAAAATGTGCCACAGAGGTCGCGTCTGTCACGTCTGCCCGGGCAGTGCGGCACCTCAAGGATCACGGTTAGCAGGGGCACACTGCATCCGCGCTAACAGGATGGGATTTTTAGCGACGAGGTAATGTCACTGCGGCGCAGAACAGGAGGCCAGACCTCGAATCCCCAGCTCCGGGAACCAGACTCCTCGCCTTCTCAGAAACCGCCGTAGGCGAGAGCATAATGGCTAATAATTTAATCATTCATTCATTAGAGATGACATATGCAGTCAGTAAAAATTGTGTGAAGGTGCTTTTGGAATGACAGAGAGAGAGAGAGAGAGAGAGAGAGAGATTAAAGAAAGATGATGATGTTAGAGTCATGCTCAGAACAGCCCAAGCTGGTTATACTGACCTCATGAAGTGCACCACATACCCTCACACTCAGAGGGGTGGATTTAGAAAAGAAAATTTTATATCTGGATTTTTCTGTCATGGGGTGGTCAGTGTGAGAGGAAGAGAACAGTGGTCAGTGTGTGTAACTGACAGCAAGGCTCAGTTTCAGGAGCAGAACTAACATAAACTCTGTGGGTGCTATGCCCCCAGTGGCTGGAACAGGCTGTTGGGGCTACTGTTTCTATCTTACACATACATAATCTATCTGGAAGTGTTCATACTACATTTTTTTTATGACTAGACGATTCTATGATCTATGATGCATATTTAACAGCGCTGCAAAACTGCATAGGCTTCCTATCCTTTGCTTGATGCCTAGCTACAGAGCTACATGCTTAGTGTATATCTGGTTTCCTTCTTGCAGTTTTGTTAGCAGGGAAATAGGTGTATTTTATGCCACATGCGCATTGCATTGTGCAAAACTATCAACTCTTGTTATCTGGTTAGCTGGCCAACAAAGGTAAAATCTGATGTTTAAAAATATGAAGAGAAGGACCACAAAAACACTTGCTTTGGCAACATCCCAAGTTGCTTTGGTATCGCTATCCCTTGGCTGTCCTTTTTCTATAGAACCCCAGGACCCCAAGAGCCCAGGCTGAGTTGAAGTAACTGCATTTCTGTACGGACATGCTACCAGCCACAGACCCACTCATGGATCTGTGAGCGATGCAGACGCAGGCCAGACCTGGTCAGCCGGATGAGAGAGGCCTCAGATTCAGTTTCAATCTGTCCGATGAGACATTAAAACCTCAGTCTAGACTCTCCGCGGTCGTGAAAAATCTCTGTGGCCCTTATCGGAAAGAGCAGGGGCTTTTGTCTCAAATTCCCCACCAGTCTGGCCATCATCTAATAATCTCCCCAGTTTAATTGGCTAAATAATTCCCTCCCTCTTCACCTCACATGGTGAACCCTTCTGGAGCTGTGCATGGCCGCTGTACCTCACCCAGATGGGGGCTACAGATTGCTGCTGGTTGAGGGGAGTCAGCCCCCCCCCGCCGTCCCCGCCGTCCCCCCCTTCACTGAAAAGTGCTTGGAGACCCATTAGATTAGATTATATTACATTACATTCATTTAGCAGATGCTCTTAACCAGCGCAACTTCCAGCACAAAAGAACAGATGTGTATCCATTGGAAGCTGCAAGATAAATGCAATCTATCTCATCACAATTATCATCATCATCATCATCATCAGTTTGGACACACCACAACTTTAAGAGATTGCTTTTTTTAAGGACCAGGCCTTAACCCCCTAAACAGTAAGAGCTTCAGTCTAATTCGGCCAGCCTACCCTGAAAGATGATTTTTTCAGATTTTCCATATACCTGTGACCCTGGACCCTAATGTATCGTGATACAAACATGTGGTGAGTAATTCCTGCACTGCTGATAGTGTCTGGCTTGCTTACTCCCCAAAGTCACGATGCCTATATTGCTTTTCCGGCTGGCTTTTTTCCGACAAAAAAAAAAGGTGACTCCAAAGCATTGGCCCAATCCTAACCCATTTTTCTGTCTAGATTTCATAAAGGAACAGAAAGAACAAAAAACCTACTGAGTGAAAAGCCCAGGAAGCAGTCCAAATGACAACGATCCGTATTATGCAAGACAACACTGCGATTACACAGTTTCCCAGAGCCAAGATGGAGCGCGTTTAAAGGAATCAGCAGATCTTGGAAGGCAGATCAATGCTACTCTAATTTCGGCGAAGCAGGGACTGGCTTTCAGAGGACGTGGAGAACAGACTGGACTGTAGGCTCCCGGTGTTAATGAAGGCACCTTCCCTGAGCTGCTTAAATGGGTGGAAAAATAAGAAGCCGCGCTCAGACCGCAGTCTGAAGCAGCCCACCTCTGGGATTGCGCACCTCCACCAATCTCAGAAGCAGCTGATTTCGTCAATCCCGAGCAGTCATTGATGGAAGAGGACACACTGTCAAGTTTGGTATTTATGTTCATTGAAGGGGCCAGGGCTGCAAGCGTTGCCTTGAAAAATGTCATCACCCATTTTGTCAACGTCAAGGAAGGATGAGTGAATGTTGGAGTTGGAAAATGAAAAAAAAAATTGTGTGTGTGTGTGTGTGTGTGTGTGTGCGTGCATGTGAGTGCGCTGTGTGTGTGTGTGTGTGTGTGTGTGTGTGTGTGTGTGTGGCTGTAGCGATTAATCAGCTTAATCTTAACCAAAAATTCAGTTGACAGCTCCTTTTGATTTAGACTGAACAGGTCTGAGGCTCTGATCAGGAATTAATTAAGATACCTACCTACCTCCTAGTGTAGGTTTTGGTCTGTAAACAACAGGAAATAAAACTTTTAATGGACTTGAGACATACATCTGCATTCTCTTACATTAGGGATTGCTGGTGGCTAGCTCGCAAAAGCTATGTAGAGAAAGGGACAGTGCACCATTCACAAATAGTGAGCCAGATTGTTGGGAGAAAGTCATCAGATAAACATGGCAAGGCACCAAGCTAGCTACACAGTACTGGCTTAAAACAACAAATAGCGCTGACACCAGCTGATTGAAGTGGCTATCTACTGCAGCTGAGAAGGACATCTGTCTCTCTAACCTTTCTGAACTACAATGATGCCAAAGAAAGCTTATGACATGGGGCATGAGCTGATGGTATTGTCTACTGTTTTTCAAATTAATGATGAGAACTTAACACAAACTAGCCACAAGGTTACATTACATTATTGGCATTTAGCAGACGCTCTTATCCAGAGCAACTTACATCAATTACAGGTTTTTACAATGCTATCCATTTATACAGCTGGATATTTACTGAGGCATTTGTGGGTTAAGTACCTTACCCAGGGGTACAGCAGCAGTACCCCCATGGGGAATCGAACCAGTAACCTATCGGTTAAGAGTCCTGCGCTTTACCCACTATGCTACGCTGCCGCCCCACTCACAAATGTAAACCCCTCAAAAACAGATCTGCTTCATCTACCAGTTAATTCAACTAATTAGGACCAAAAATAAAATCAACTAATTGCTTTTATTTTTATTGACTGACAACTGAAATGCTCAGATTATGCATTGGACTGGGATGTGCAAAGAGAGAGGGAAACACCATTTCGCACTGCTGAGTCACACCCTGATTATGCTCCCCACTGATGTGTGTGCCAAAGAATAGGGTGCTGAGCACGGGCTATGTGCATTTTTTTTTTTTTTTTTTTATGAAAAAGCTTAAAATGAAGGAGGCTGTGTGGTGCATGCTATTGTCAGAACTTGCAGACATATGGTACAAGTTACATAACCTGCATTTACATTACACTACTGTCATTTAGCAGATGGTCTTATGCAGAGTGACTTACACGGGTTATCCATTTGTATCCATTTATACAGCTGGATATTTACTGAGGCAATTGTGGGTTAAGAACCTTGCCCAAGGGGGCAGCAGCAGTGCCCCAGCGGGGAATCGAACAAGCAACCTTACAGTTACGAGCCCTGCACCTTAACCACTATGCTACACTGCTGCCCTACTCCCGTTATCAAGTGGGCTACTACAAAGTGTGTCCTTCTGTTTAACCACACCACAGTGGATACCCCGTGGCGGATATCAGCGGCGACCGTCTCAGCTGAATTAACAGCGATCAGTGAGGTGCTGTAACAGTCTGCGGCTGGGCTAGGCAAACCCCGCTCGCCACCCCCCGATTCCAGAATGACAGAGACGTCTCTGGGTCTTTGTTACTGTTTTTTTTTTGTTCCACCTGAGCTCTTTAATCACATAATCGGATTAATCGTTTTGCTTAATTAAATGCTGGTGGCCGCTTGCTTGAGGCGCCTGGCGTATCACCTGCATTAATTAACACGAGGGCTGATCCGATTTTGTAACGAGGAGCCCGAACGGAGCAAAAAAAAAAAAAAGCAGAAACGGGCCCAGGAGTGTCAGGCCTGCTGAGGCCGTAGTCTCAAAGCCATTTTTCTTCAGGAGCTGGGGTCCCTTCCAAGTCCGAGGCATATTCCCCGGCATCAGCGGAAAGTTCTGTCCGCGGCTCAGTGTGTGCAGACAGAGCGGCTGTCGGTGAGGTGGGCTGGAGCAAAGCCATCCAGCACAGAGAGAACTGAGCACGGGGTCTATGAATCGTAGGTTATCATGCTGAAGTGGGGGCACTGCTGCTGTGCGACCGTTGTGCGATCTACCCGAACCAGAATTTCCTCTGTAAATATCCAGCTGTGTAGAAGGATAACATGGAAAAACTGTAAATCAATCTGACTAAAAGCGACTGCTAAATGACAATAATATAATATAATATAATATAATATAATATAATATAATATAATATAATATAATACATTGAAAAAACAGGTCCAGTTGTTTAGCAAAGCGTAATATTTTCAAGCCACTTTGATATTTGCCCTTAAACACTAACCAAAACACCTACATTCCTTCATGGTGTTTTTATCATGAAAACAATGCCCAACAGGATGTCACCCGCCATTGCCGTCTGCCTGGCTGTTCTTCGGCAGGTGGAGACTGCTGACACGTTTAGAGAACAACTGCTGATCTGGTGCGACTGAACAATGGCATGCGGTACTTATTGTACATTTTCAAAGGGATTTGTGCTTTCAAATAACACTACAATTACACATGAACAATATGGGGTGGCATTGCAGCATAGTGGTAAGGAGCAGGGCTTGTAAACGAGAGGTTGCTGGTTTGATGCCCTGCTTGTCACGCCCACTCCCAACCAGCCAGCTCAGCCACGCCCAGTTCAACCTGCTCAGCCACGCCCAGTTCAACCACCCATCAAACACACCTGTAACCTCTCTGCAATCAAACCCTGCCCATAAAAAGACTCTGCTTTTGTTGCCTCTTTGTGAGGTATTGCTCCCTGTGGATACCAAGCCTGTTTGCTCTGAGTTTCTAGTGTTAGTTCCCGGTGTTTGACCCTTGCCTGTGCTCTTGACTTCGCTTGTGTTTTTGGATCTTGGATTGTGTACCTGCTTCCACCGTTACTGACCTGTTTTGTCCCTGACCATGATTCCTGATTAAACCTGCTCGCCGCTCCTGGATCCCAGTCTGTTTCATTACACTGCTGGGGCACTGCTACTGTACCCCAAATTGTGATTGCAGTAAATAACCAGCTGCATAAATGGATAACATGTAAAAATTGTAACCTATGTAAGTCACTCTGGATAAGAGCATCTACTAAATAGGGCAGCAGTGTGGCATAGTGGTAAAGAGCAGGGCTCATAACCAAAAGGCTGCTGGGTCAATTCCCCTCAGGGACACTGCTGTTGTACCCCAGGAAAAGGTGCTTAGACCACAATTGCCTCAGTGACTATCCAGCTGTATAAATGGATATCTATGTGTCTAAATGGATATCTATCTAGTCGCTCTGGATAAGAGCATCTGCTAAATGACAATAATGTAATGCAATGTGCTCAACATGCTCTCAGATAATGGCTGCCAGCCTCGCCGTAGTGGGATGCAAAGCTTCACCGCTTCACTGAGCACCTGCGGCTCTTCTTATTTTGGCTTCCTGCTCCCTCAGGCATTGTTAGCCGGGCCGCTGTTGTCGCTGTTACCACTGTGATGTCATACACAGTCTACTATGCCTTTTTACAATCAGTTCCATTGTCTGGAATACCAAGACCAGTGACAAAACAATCAGTACTGATAATGCTGAGGATGTACTGTATGTCTTATAAATTGTACTGCAATGCCATGATGGCAATTAACCATTTAGATCCCTTCATACCCTTTATGCATATACCTCTATATAATCAGGATCATACTTAATCTCAGAGTACCGCAGCATTAGGGTATTATTTTATTACAGTGCTGAAAAAGTTGTACAGAATTATAACACTGCAACACCACTTTCTCTACTGTATGGCAGTGCTGTATAATTATGGTACGGAGATATTGTGACCTCCAAAATTGTGACAACTAGACTAATTACAGCTGATCCATCACAAATTGTCTCTTGCACACAGGGGAGACCCCATCAAAGCTTGAAATTATCCATTTATAATGCTTGCTTTTTCCATGTCTGCTGTCTTTCCTCAGTGTCTCTCTCTCTTGCTCTTTTTGTCACAGTGGATCCAGCAGACACTTGTACTGGCTTAACTGTAAACTGAATAATATGCAGCTATTTTAATAATGCGTCATTGTATGGAGATATTTCTTCTTTTTTTCCCTCTTTCACAAATAATTAGAAATATCAGGGAGCAATGAGAAAAGCACCTCTTTTAATGAGCGTTTGTCATGAAATGGATCACTGCCGTGTGTTTTCTGTTGGGAAATTTATTTTTAATTGCTATTTGTTTTCTTTCTGGGTCCTGACAGATTCTGACAATCAGAACACCTGTTAGCAGACAGAGAGAGACAGAAGGAGCAAACGCATAGAGCTCTCATGGCTGAGTCTCTGTGCCCTTCCTTCCACAAACCGAACCCCACCTGAACCTATGTGTCTTTCCCTACAGCAAACTGCTGGCTGGCCCATTCTGTGCAACCTTCCCTAAGTGTCTGACCCAGTAACCGTGCCCTTCCACAGCCGAATCACAATCACAGCTTGGTCCATTACGCGAGCCCTCCCTTACAACAAACCACAGCCTGTCCCACGCCCTGTAACGGTTCTAACCACAAACTAAACCCATTCCCTGAACTATTTCCTGCCACTGTGGTGTAAGCAGTGGATTTCCAGCTAATCGTTCTGCCTCAGCGTCAAGAAACACGAGCCCCGAGCACTCTGCCATAAAAATGTGTTAATAATGCAGATTCAGTGAGAGAATAATCCCAGTAATTTAGAGAAACAGACTGAGGTAGTAACAGCTGAGCCACAGACAGGGCTAGTGATAATTTGTAGTGTACTACAGAAACAAAAAGGATCAGTGAACACTCTGTTTTACAGGGGCAGAGAGGGTTAGTGAAAACTTCTAGTGTACCAGAAGAACAGACAGGGTTAGTGCCCACTTGTAGTGTCTTACAGGAACAGACAGGGTTACTGAACACTTCTAGTGTACTACAAGAACAGACAGGGCTAGTGGACACTTCCAGTGTACTACAGGAACAGACAGGGCTAGTGAACACTTCCAGTGTATTACAGGAACAGACAGCATTAGTGCACACTTTTAGTGTACTACAGGAACAGACAGGGCTAGTGCACACTTGTAGTGTGTTACAGAAACAGACGGGAGGGTTAGTGAACACTTGCAGAGTGTTAAAGAAACACGCTGGGCTGCTCTCGCACTCACTTATTGGCGTGAACAGGGTGTGAAGTCTTTAGACTGAACAGACTGTTTCGCCCACCTACTATATCCTGCCAGTGAACTACAGTTTCACCAAGACTTGATAGTCAGAGTCACGTCCTAAACTCACAGCTCTGACTGATCCCATCTCACCTGTCTCTGCCTCCAGACATCTCATACGCAGTGCACCTGTAAATAGCTTACAGGTCATTTCCTGTTCACATCTCATATCTCTCTGCCTGTTCCTACCAGTATACATCTCACCTTGTTTTTACCTGTCTCTCCCTGTACACATCTTATCCACCTCCACCTATTTCTACTTGATATAATTTCACCTGTCTCTCCCTAAGCACATCTCACATCTCTGAAGACGTCACTGCCTCCACCTATCTCTACCTGCACTCATTTCGCCTGTCTCTACCTGCAAACATCTCACATCTCTACCTATCCATACCTCACCTGTCTCTCTACCCTAACAACTCTCACATCTCACACTCACACTGGCACTGAGGCATACGAAAACCAAACTGAGGGGGAACGTGGAAGCCTTGCATCTGAACTACCAGCACAAAATGGAACTGTAAAAACTGGATTTGGCATTGACCGAGGAGCAAATGAAAATTCGAAATAAGGACACGCTCAGTGACCACACCTGGGCTAGGAAAAACGCCATGGGTGAACAGGGCAGTCTGGTCATTGCCAGCTGCAAATGGATGTGCTTTTATTTGTGTGCCGAATTATTAGTGCACTACCTGACATTTTGAGGCGCTGAATCCTGGACGAATGTGCACCCCTTTTTTTAGAGCTGGCTCCTTCAATCCACTGTAATATCATTCTGCCTTCGGGACATTGTCCTCTCCTCCTCTGTGTCAAGCAATCTCTCCTGATCTGGTGCAGGTCTCTGGCTCAGTGAAATCCCCTATCTTATATACTGATACTCTAATGCCTTTCCATTCATCTGGGATTTCCACTCTTTATGGATTGAATAAAGATGTCTGTTAATGGTTTATAAATGATCTCCCTCAATACTTTACAACCCTCTGGATATATTCCATCAGGGTCTGCCGCCTTACTTGCCTTGGGTTTTTTTTTCCTCTAATACCTCAGCCTCCTTTTTTCAGTTTTAGGCCTTTTTTTTCAATTCTTCGTGAGGATCAGTGCTCACCACTGTCATATTTGTGACGTCTTCCCTTTTGAAGCTCCCAGCAACAACAAGTAATTGTTGGGTAGACCTGCAGCGCCTTCGCCGTTAGAGTAGAGGGGAAAAAAACATCCTCTG